AAAAAGTGGTCACACATAAAAAGCTTGTCATGAAACATGCTTTAAATTAAAATAGAAACCCTATTCAGCCTAATGTTATCAATTTTGCAGAGTGCTCTAATCACTATTGGTGATTAAAAAATATGTGAATATGACTGTGGGTTGAAAATAACCACAATAAAAGGACAATGGCGCCATCTAATGCACTAAAAGAAAATGGGGAAAATATTTAAGAGTTTAAACTAAAACACATTGATACCTACTATTCTTTGAAGCTTCTTGTTGGAATCAGTAGTATTTATCTATGATCTCTATCTTAGGTCTTTTGGGGCTAGAGGGTTTTTCAGTCAAAGAAGAAGAAGAGTCTCCTTGAATCTCCCTGTCTATTTCCACTTTCACGTCAAAGTTGAAGCCGTCTTGTGTAATCTACTGAATGCAGTGTGTGTTGGCTTCAAATCACGTCGCTGTTAATCATTTGCCTCTCCATCATTCCAGACAGGTAGTACAGTAGTATGACTTGACAGCACTCTCCTGTGAGTGTGACAAGGTTGCCAAGTTCTTTCCTCAGTTGTTGTCATTCCCTTCCTTTCTTTATGTTATTAGCTGAATTTGGATATTATGTGGGCGTGGCAGCTTTTCTGCTGCTACCAAATCCCATTTCCCCCAACCATTTTAAAATTGACAAACTTTAATCTGGGACATATTTTTAGGAGATGCGACAGAGAGGAGACAAAAGTGATAACATTAAGAAACATTGATTTCATGTGTGCAGATTAGCAGTGTTACTGACACTATTTAAAACTTTCTGTACTGAACCCTTCCACTTTGTTCGACATTTAGGAAAACTCAGAATATCAACCCAGCACAGACCAACCTGTAGTTTCTCCTAAGCATTTTTCTAAACCAATATGTGGTACTTGTCTGTCGCCATCATTCTCTTATATTTGGTTTTATTTTGGACTTATATTTATGTGGTCACACACACTACTCTTCCCCCATCAGAGGTTATTTTTTAGTGTCTGATACAATCTTCACTCTCAGGCAAGGTAGACGAGCTGGTGGTGTTGCCTGTCATCTTTTCAAATCACCCCATTTGTGGTGAAATATCATGTTGGAAAGCACGTGGCTTTAAATACTGTTGCATGATTAATAAAGCTTTAGTTATGTTGACAACGACTCTCCAACTATCTTTAAAATGTTTGGATAACATCTCGAGTTTTTTCTGATTACTTGTTGACAGTCTTGCTACCATGAAGATATCCAGATCTCTTACTGCATCCATCCATCCATTTACCTGCAGCTTATCCTTTTTAGGATTTCAGTTGAAGCATAATCCCAGCAAGATGCGAGGCAAACTGCCATGGTACTGAGTCTATGACCCAGTGTTATATGTTCCTTATGTTCTCATTTAATTTCAGTTTAGTTCCTAGTTCTTAGGTTCTTGTTCATTTTAGTCTGTTGTCTTTTGTGCCTCCCTGTGTAGTCTGTCATGTCTAACAAGTATGCTAAGTTCTGTCTCCATGTTTATTCATCAGTCAATGTCTGTTACTCTGTTCCCTGTATTCAGTCAGTCCGTGTCCTTGTGCGTCTCTTGTTTCCTGCTTTATTTTCATAGTCTCCTATCCTGTGTGCATTATGTTCCCTGGCTTGTTAGTCTGATTAGTTCCAGCTGTTTTTCCCTCCTGTTTCCCATCCCCTCGTTAACCTCTGTGTATTTAGTGCTCTGTCTCTTCCTCTGCTTGTTGTTATGTGTTGCTGGTCCACTTGGTTCCCCAATCAATTGAAATTCTTAATTCTTATAAAATATTCAAATTTTAAATGCATAGGAATATATATTTATAAAAGTGGTACCTTAGGTGCTTTTAAATGACTTAATCCCAGAAGATAAACCTATAAGTAATCATGTGCTCATTTGATTGTTTAATTTAATTATATAGAATAAAATACTTTGGGTTTGATTCCAGAATCAGATCGATTTTTCTAAATAAAATCTGTATCTATAGTGAAATATTTACATTTTAAAACTCCTCACTGTTGTTGGAGAATCAGCCACAACAAGAAAAGATGAGAAGATCCAAATGAATTAATGAAAATACAAAGAAAAATAGTTTCCTGCTTGGGTGATGACCATAGTTGTGTGAGCTGCAGAGGAATCTGAAATTCCAAAGTAGGCTGCAGTGGTCTGTCTGGTATATACTGTGCCAGAATCATTAACACTGGATATTTTGCTATGTTGTGATCATTACTTTCATATCTTTACCAAATGTCTTTGAGTGTTAACTGTGTTGATCTCATGGTTTCCTGTAACAACAAACTGCTGTTTCAATTCCATAAAAGTATTCACATAAAAAAAATACTCTCTCTCTCTCGCACACCCCCCCCCATTCAATCACATATTCCTCTAATGCCACCAGGTGGTCACAATTATCACAACAGTCTGGTTGCAGGTAATGTGTAAAGTCAAGGTGGAATTTCTTGAAAACTGATGTAATTAAGGGCCTTATTGGATGAATAACATATTTGTATGACTGTGGCAAGTTTTAAAATTAAGAAACCTTTGAAAGACAATGTGAAAGGCTGAAACTATGGATTTTGTAATTATTGAATTTTCTGAATATTGTTATTTTTGATTTTCACTCATCGTTGTCAAGCTGTTTTGTAAAGAAGAAAAAACCTTTGCAGTCGTGATGCTCCCTCACAGTAAAGCTGATCTGACAGTACAAAAAAAAAAAAAAAAAAAAACACAAACACACACACACACACACACACACACACACACACACACACACACACACACACACACACACACAATAAGAGAAGGAAAAGATATAATATATATATACATATATATATACATATATATATATATATATATAAAAGTAATTTTCCATTATTATAGGTAGGCTGTACCTTAATTGGTATCGTGGGACTTTTTTTTTCAGGTTCTGATGTAAAAATTGTGTTTATATACACATATATGTTGTCATATTATGAGGTTCTTTGTATTTGGACAGTTTTTATTTCTTGGTTATTCCTGTTTGGATTTCTTTATTATTATTAAATATTACGAGTTTTAGTCTTTTAAGTTTAGATCTTCCAGACCTGCTTTGATTTTATCGTCTTACACCTCCTCTTTGTCTTGTTTTAGCTTTAGTTTCTTTGCCCTCTCGTGTTCCCTTTTTACTGTTTTCTTGTTTCCTTGCCATTTGTATTGTGGTTACTTTCGCTTTTACTTTGAAGATTCTTTTTTCTTTCATGTCCTGTAATTGTTACTTCCTGTCTCTGTTTTCTGCTGAATTCCCAGATTGTTCTCATGTGTTAATTACTTTCATCGGTCTTCTGCTCATGTTTCTTGTTGATTAATGACTCCTCTGTGTATTTATGTTCCTGTCTTCCCCTTAGTCTTTAGCAAAGTGTCTGCCATGCCCCCCTCTGTTTTTGCTGTCACACTTTGTGTTGTTTGGGTTCTAGTTTGTTGGAGTTTTTTAAAAATTAATTTTTCATTTGGACTGCTGCAGCAAAGGCTTTCCTTTTGTTGCCTGTAGTCTCCTGCATCCACAAAGTGAAAGCCTCGCTAAAGTTGACATAAATCTTTCAACTAAAACATTGTATATAAAACCCAAATCTTATTTTACCAACTGTAAAATGCACACCAAGGCGTGTTTCAAACTAATTTGAGGCTTTGAACACCTTAGACAAACCTACGAGTGAAATTTCACACTTTCATTGGTTTTCCAGGAGGAGACATACCGTATGTAAATCCTATTAACCCACTATATACCTACAATATTCTCACTCTGCAACAAATGTAATTTTTAAATGTGTAAGATCCAACTTAATCTATTCAGCTTGCAGTATATGGTAAATGTAGAATAAATAACCCTGTCTACATTTTTTAAAATTCAGATTACCGGTATATGAAATTTCACACAGAGCTGGCAAAAGACACTATTTTGCACAAAAACGTTGTGCCTCATCAACCAAAAACATTACATTCACATCAGGCACTTACAATGTGTTTGTTGTTTGAGTGCAGAGATATGAATGATTTTCTTGTTCTACCAGTCTCAGGTTGCTGTTTCAAGAGTCCCCACCACTGTTTCTCAATTAGATTTTCAAGGATGTTAACATGAAAAACTGCATTTACAGCTTAATGATGTGATGGGAAGTTTGAGATATTTATCTTAGTTTGTCCACGTCGACAAAATTATCTTCAAAGTTTCTCAAAGGACAAGACAAATTCAGCACAGTAATAATTAGTATTTTTAATGTTAAAATAATTTTATAAGACAGTAGGTTTACATACCTCTGATGAATTACCTCTTTTTGGTTCCAAAGACATATATGGGGTACTACCAAAAGTCTGACCTGCATAGGCGCATCTGCTCAGTGTCCTCCTCAGTCATGCCGATCACATAATTGCTGCTGAGGACTAATGAGGGAACATAGCTGTCTGTAGTTTTTAGTGTGGACACAAAACGGCCAACAAAAAGCCAAGTTTAAAACCAGCCCACCGAGACTTTAAAGCGACAGCCACACCAAAGAAACATGCACTGCACAGGCGGAAATGGAGGCTATACTACAAACGTGACTGTTCATCACTGCCTTCGTTACCTGTTGAAGTTCATGGTCTGACTGCTGGGCTGGGGTCAGTAATCACGGAGCTTTAATATCATTCTGGATTTTAGGTTACTTTTGAGTCAGCGTGCAAAGTTGTGTTGGCAGTGTAATTGTTATGATGATTTCTGATATGAGGTTCAGTTCTACGGTGGTGATCGCAGGGTGTGCACAGGTCAAGTGCCACTATGACCCTCCAGAAAATAACGAGGACAGGGGATGATCGTTCAGCGTGGGTGTGGGTATGTGTGTGGGTGGTTCAGTCTTA